AAAAAAAAATCACATTACAGGAGATAATGTGTAAATTTAGAAGTGTTCTCTTCTGCTCTCGACTTACATAAAAAAATTGACTTTAGGTCTCCACGTCCATTTTTGGCGTGTCTTAAATGCTGTCACCCAAGCCACTTTTTTGTCTTCTAACCCACTTTTCGAGCATGTTTTACCAATACTCCCATCCGAATCGTTTGATAGATGGTATGTTTTAAATTTGTGTAGGATTTCGTCTCTGGGAATTTTATCCAAAGCCACAGGGATCCGTTAGAACATGAAAACGGGCAGATTTGTAACATTTGGCTCCTTGGTATCTGTTGCTGGGGACGCTTTGGCAGATTTGAGACCCCCCATTTTGATGCTGGTGAGCGGGTTGGGGGGGGAGATGCTGCCCTTTCCATGTGCCCAGTGTGATCCAGGACAGATGACAATAGTGCCGAAGGCTCACTTCTCAGGATTCAGTATGTGAAGAACGTGGGATGGTGCCCTGTGGACAGTGAGCTCCCAGCAAATGCGCTGGTGGAGATTGGACTGGTTGGAGCACTCTGGCCCTTCTGGTTTGCAGAGTGACTTTGAGGGCTTATGAGGCGAAGCCTGGACACAGTCCTTGTCTGGGAGGCCAGGACCCCCGTGGGTTTTGATTTGGGGTTTTGGAGTGGGGGAACCAGTCCAGAGGGAAAGGAGTGGTGGTCTTGGGAGCGAGAGGAGGCCTGAGGCCTGTGACTCAGAGAAGCGGTCCCCGGGGCCTGCCCTCTGGCATTCCTAGAGTGGAATGTTTTAAATTCCCTGGGTTTGGAGCCTTTTTGCCCAGGAGGTAAGAGAAGCCTTGACCAGTCTGTAGATAGGACTCAGAAAAACATTTATGCTCTGTCTTGCATGTGTCCGTACTTCAAAGCTGGCAAAAGCTTAACTCAAGACCTGTGGGGCCGCCAGGTTCTGCGTGTGCCCAATGTCTGTCGTTGTTGTCATGGTCATTGTTTGCCATCTCACCATGTTGGGTGACAGATGACACGCACACCCCTGGTCCTGGGTGAGGATGGACAGTGGCTGCGGGGTGTGTGCGTGTGTCCAGCTTTACAGGGCGCATTTGCATGACCCTTTGTAAATAAGGGCTGCTTTGAATACCCACCTCAGGTGCACCTGTGTAGCGGGCCCTGGGATGCCCGATTTAGATGGCTGATGGTAATTTGAAACTGAAACAATCAGAAGTATGTATCTCGAGAAAAAAAGAAGAGCAGTGGGGGCCAAGACCCTTCGCCCCACCCCTGCACCAGAAGTCATCACCCAGTTCGGGCTTTCCATGTGGATGGCATCGGTCCACTTGGACCGCCAGGCCCGGGCCCAGGCCCTGCCTCTAAGCCAGACTTTTCCCTCAGATACTCTATTTCATTGAGGGAATTAGCAAAATGAAATGGAAGTGGCTGGTGTGTTCACATTACTTTATGAAGCTCTAAGCCATGCATTGCTTTTTCCAGCTGTGCACTGTTTCTCCGGACCAGCGGTTTCTGGCCCCAAAATGAGAAATGAGTATGGGGGTGGTAAAAATCAGGGTAAAATTAATTTCTAAAGTTTGGAGACACTGAGGGATGGTGTGGGGGGCAGGGGCAAGGGTTCTTTTTTGAATGGGCAAGGCCTAAGGGCCTTGTAGCTCTGTGTGTGTGTGTGTGTGTGTGTGTGTGTGTATGTATGTATGTATGTGAGAGAGAGAGAGAGAAGGAGGGAGAATGGAGAGGGGGCAGAGGGTCAAAGGAGATACCAGAGAGGGACCTAGAGACCCAGAAGGAGTGGGAGGGGGCCCTAGGAGTGGTGGCAGCTCTGGGTGTGGGGAGGGGTTACTATTTGCATAACTGATTGTTGCTCCAGGGGATTGTGGTGGGGGAAGGGAGGCCAGCACAAAGGCTCTTTCCTCCCCTCCCAGACCCCTCCTTTCTCTTTTCCCCTTTTGTCCCCCCTTTCCTCCCCTGGCGCCCTTGAGCCTGGTCAGCACCACCTGTGCCCTCATGGATGGCTCCGGGTTGGCCCGGCCCTGGTACCCGGCTGACAGGTCTTGACTGTCAGGCTCCTGTTGCAGGCAGGGCCACCACAGCCGCCTGTGGAGTCAAGATAAAGTCCAAAGGAAGGCCCCTGGCTGTGCATCTCTCTTTAAAAGCTTGTACTTTGGGGTGCCTGGGTGGCCCAGTCGTTAAGCAGCTGCCTGTGGCTCAGGTCAGGATCCCAGGACTCTGGGATCGAGCCCGCATCGGACTCCCTGCTCTGTGGGAAGCCTGCTTCTCCCTCTCCCACTCCCCCTTGCTTGTGTTCCCTCTCGCTGTGTTGCTCTCAGTCAAATAAATAAAATCTTTCAAAAAAAAAAAAGGCTAGTTCTTTATAAAAGGCAGTTTCTGTATAAACTCCAAAATGCTTGTCTTGACTGTCTTTTCTGCCTGAAGGCAAGACTTCTGGGGGGGAGACTGTGGCCCATGTCCCCTCTCTTACGGTGGTTTCCCAGGGCCTGTTTTCCGGGGCCACAACCTGCCACTTGGGGATCCACCGGAGTTGAGGGTGGTTGCTGGAGGAGAGGGCTGGTGGCTGGGGTGGCCCAGAGCAGCCTCAGCCAAGTCTCGGAATGGGAGTCTCAGGCTGGTGAGCTAGAGATGGCCTTGAGTGAATTCCGTGTTTCGCTGTCTGGTGCACGCTGGAAGCAGTACTGTGTCCTCTGCAACCCCCCAACCCCCCCACAGCTTGGTTAAAGCAGTAACTGAATGGATGGTCAGGCAGGGATAAAAGAGTACCTAGTGGTTTTGTCATCCACCTCTGAGCCACCTCCCTGCCTGAGCCTCAGTTTCCCCATTGGTGAAATGGTGATGGCATTTTTCTGCCAGGCTGTCCTGAGACTCAAGTGAGATTCACTGTGGTGATTTTTGCCATAATGCTGAGCTCGCTGAGTCCTCCAGGCTCCAACCAGAGGGGCCTGCCTAGCAGCTGGGGACAGAAGCAGGCCCTAGACTGCTCTGTGGACAAGTAGAGACCGGACAAGTGGAGACCGTAGGGCAGAAAACTAGTGGGCAGTGCGGGGAGCTGAGCTCAGGGTTCGTCAGTGTCAGCGATCTCCAGCCTGTCTGTCTCATCTTGCCTCTCCTCCCCTCTCTCCCGTCCTCTCCCGTCCTCTCCCCTCCTCTCTTCTGTCTTGTTTGCTTTTTCACGAGACAAAGTTATCTGTTGCGAGGTAAGACTCTTACTTGTTCACCCAGGGCCTGGAGTGCCATGCTGCCATTTACGTCTTCCCAGGGGGGCTCTTCTCCCCTCCCCCAGGCCAGAGTTCCATATTTGTGTCCTTAGGCTTAGGCTGTTACCTTTCAACAAAGTGAGGACGGAAAGCATTTCAAAGCAAATTCCTGCCCTGGTGGCCAGCCAGTTCCCCTGATCACGCAGGTTGGGAGGGGGATGTGGGTATTGTGGACATCAGTCTCCAGGGGCCAAGGCTGGGTGCAGGTGTGGTGGGCTTGCCTCAGGGAGGGAGGCAGAGGCCTGAGGAAAAGCTTGTGCCCATGAACAGCTTCACTGTCCGCAGCGTTCTCTGACCCACAGCATCTTCATCTGTTAGGTGGGGTAATCGTTGAGGGTGATTTGTGAACCAGTTTCTCACTGGAAAATGTTAGGTATTTGGTACTGATAATCCTGGAAAGGCTTCAGCAGGTCATGAACTTGAGCTGGGAGGGGCAGGGCAGTGGATAGGATGAAGAAAAGGATGGCGGCCCTTTTGTGGCCAGCCGAAGGGCACAGGGGCTGAGACGGCCCTCTCAGGGTGGGTGCTCAGAGGAGCCCGTGTCCGCCTTGTGGGAGTCAGGAGCCAGCCTGGCCGCTCTGGCCACCCCCCAGATGCTCCGTGTGTCTCTACCTTGTGAACTTCTTGGGTGCAATATAGCTTGTTTTTCCTGCCCGAGCAGGTTTCTAGGCTCGTAGGGATGATGGGCTGAAAATAATAGCAGCTCTAGCTCCAGTGGTCGCAAATCACATATAGCCTGGGACAGGCCCAGCCCATGGCACGCAACTCTGAGGCCTCGGTGTGCATCCCTTGGCGGGGTTGGGGGGGATGGAGGGGGTGAGTCTGCTGAGCGGCATTCCTGTTTTTTAAAAACACTTGCTGACCCACCTAAGTCCAACCAGCATCGCCCCCCCCACCCCCGCTGCCTCCTGCCCTCCAGGCCCAGTTGGCTGGATTTCAGTAACGCTTCTCAGCTCTACAACTAGAATTAGGGAGGGCAGTGCCTGCTTTATATAGAAGAGGAAACTGAGGCCCAGGCAGGGAAGAGGCCGACTTGATTGATGGAAAGAGGCCTCAGAGGCTCTTGCAAATTTCCCTCCAGCCCTTAGCAGCGGGCTGCTAGGTCTCACCTTGCTCCCAAGGCCGTTGCCATTAGCAACCAACTTCCCCTGTTGGTTCTGGGGGCCCTCGAGGGGAAGAGGGAAGAAGGTGGAAGCCTGGCTGTCAGTCAGTCAGGTGGCATTTGAGTGTCTGTGTCAGTGGGTTAGTGCAGGTGACACTGGGAGGAGGGCCTGGGCACATCAGAGCCATCCAGTGTGGGGGCCCGTTGGTTTGCTATTAATTGTTCCCAGTAGCGGGGAGATTACACACAGGGACCCTCGCTTTGTGCAAAAAGATGCCACATGGCTGTTATACCGTACACGCAAAAGAATAGAAAAGGGAGAAAAGCATTGGCAAAGTAGAGGACGACTAGGCAGCAAGGTCTGCTGGAATCGGGTAGACTTTGCTCTTGTCCTGGCCCAGCTGTTCTCCAGCTCTGTGCCCTTTGCTTAGTTACCTGGCTCCTCTGAGCCTCAGTTTACCTGTCCATAAAACGGGGCAAGGTACAGGTGTACGTTAGTAGCGCAGGTGTGTGATGGTCGGCACCTTCCCTGACACTCCCAGCTCCTTAGTGAAAGATGGCTGGTGTAAGAACCGGAAACCTGGGAAGGGTGGCTGGCCAGTCAGTCAGTTACATCTGTTGAGTGTCGTCTAGGTCCTGCCAAAAGCCTGGTGTCCAGGGATGCAAAACTGGGTGAGGATCGAGCTGATGGTCCAGAAGAACAGATGGATTTGACCATCGAGTGGATAGGTCTTGGTCTGTGCTGGGTTGGGGACCCTGGCAGAATCTGAGGGGAGCCCTGAGAGGGCTGTGTCTGGCTGCTGCAGGGTTTGGGGGGCTTTCTGGAGGGGACATTGCAGCAGGGCTTCAGAGAAGACAGGGAAAGAGAAAGCGGAGGGAAGCACATCCCAGGCAGGCGCAGGTCTTTGTCTTGGAGGACTGTGGGCAGTGGGCATTGGTAGCAGCTGACAGGTGGGCTCTTAGTCTGTGCTGGGCTCTGGTCTTGCCTGTGTGGGGTGACAGTTCCCGAAACTGACCCTGTGAGGCCGGCCTTATCCCATTCTGCAGTTGAAAACCTGGGCCACAGAGAAGTTAAGGGAGCTTTCCAGGCGCACACAGCATTCAGACCCCTAGAGCCAGGCTCCAGAGACACCCCCACCACCCCCCACGGCCTTGAGTCACTGCCTGGCCTGACAGGATCCAGATCTAGTTGCTGAGAGACAGAAGTTCATGAACTAGTGGTAAGACCCACTAGTTGGGCGTGTTGGGGAGTCCTCTCCGCCTCCGTTTATCTGTAAAGTGAGAATAACACATGTCCACGAAAACAAAGTGAGGTTCTTAGATGGAGTCTGCTTGTGGGGCATGCGCAGAGAGAGCTCTGTGAGCAGGGGGCTGTCACCCCCAGCAATTAAAGGAGGGGTGGTTGCAACTTAGAAAATATTCAACCGTAAGGCAGGCTCCCCTCCCCCACTGTCATTGTTTGAGAGGCCAGGAGCCTGTGGGACTTGGGCAGGATTAGATAAAACGTGGGCAAAGTGCCCAGCACAGCACTGGCACGCGCAGCCCCAGTAAACAGTAGTCATTTTCATTATTGTGTCTTATCTCTCGATATTAGTAATTATTATTGATGGTCCTCTCATCAGCCCTGTGGGGTGATTTTAGCTTCACTTTATAGAAAAGGAAACAGCTTGGAGGGTGGGTTATGCGTCCAAAGTCACAGTAGTTGGCAGGACCCGGGGAGATTCTGAGCTGGGTGTGTCACACTCCTGTCCCTGCCCTCCTGTGTTACATCATGGGAAGGCTCCAGAGGCCCTCCCGTGTGTCGTTAGGTGAGGTTTAACTCCTGACCCAGGTCTTCTCAGAGACAGCCTTCTAAACATGCCAGTTGTGTAGGGCAAAGCGTGCTTGTGGACATGTGGGCTCTTAGTCTGTGCCAGGCTCTGGTCTTGTCTGCGTGGAGTGACTTAACTGCCATAAACGTGTGACGCAGGCATTTTGCTGTTTTGCGGTTGAAACCTGGGCCACAGAGAAGTTCGGAGACTTTTCCAGGCTCACACAGCTTGGAAGACCCAGCATCCAAACCCCGAGAGCCAGGCACCAGAGACCCCCTCCCACCTGGATGCTTGAGCTCGAGACAGTGACTCTCCTCTACCAGCAGTGTCGTCCTGGGTGCGGGTGTATGACCCTGCCCTTGGCCAAATCCAGGTCCGGAAGACCTAAGTCTTGCAAGAATGTGCAGCTCCTATGCAGAAAGTCCAGTATGGTGACCCAGTACAGTTCTAAAAATAACGCAGAGAGAAGCGTCTGCAGCTCTGGGGCTGCTGGGAGACCTCAAGGCCCCCTTTGGGTTGTGTTCTGGCAGCGATGCCATGGCTTTTCTCCCACCTCCCCACTGCTGGGGAGAGGCGGCGGCCCTGTCGATTTGCACCCTGGGCCCTCTGGCTTTGGGCATTCAGGTCCCCAGGCTGTGTGCGCCCCCGCAGCACAGCAGCAAGCGATGCTGGGAAGCATCCGTGAAGACGCCGCTATCCCAGCAGCCCTTGGCCCCGTGTGCCGGGAGCAGAGAACCCTTCCCAAGTCTGGAACTGAGCCTCATGTCATCGGGGCTGCCACCCTCACAGCTCCCACGCTCGTGCTAATTCTTTGTTGATTTAGAAGCCTCTTCAGGATCGTGTAGTGCCTCAGGGCCACTCTTGTGGAGAGGAGCTGTAATCCCTCAGATATCATAATCCCCCACACTGGGTACTTTGGAACGCGGGCTCCCGTACATGAGCTTTTTGGCACCCTCCAGCAGTCCTGGGGGAGTGATGGACAAGGCTTCTTATCCTGGTTTGTTGATGAAAAGGCAGGTAGGTGGCTTTTGTGACTTTCCCCAGTCACACGTCCAGAGTACAATGAGGCTGTGAGTAAAATCCAGTCGGGAGGCTAGTCATGGGGTACGGGACAGATGGCAGGTGCTCGGCACGCACGCCCGTGCTCCTCCCTTGCCTGTGTCAGACATGGCACACTGATCATGGTGACTCTTTCTTGTGCCCGGGCTCGAGGTTATTTTCACTCGCGTGTTCAGCCAGCCACGGTCAGCTGAAGAACATCGGCCGGTGAGAGAAGTTCCTTGTCATCATTGTCCCGCACCAGCTGGAAGTTGGCCGGTGACGTCGTGTGCGTATCCTGATTGTTTGGATTTTTAGATAAGTGGAAGTCAGATGTGTACTGTAACTGGATTCCTGTTGGAGGCCTTGGACCTCCCTGCCAGAGCCAGCTACCAGCTTCCAGAAGGCCCGGGAGAGTCTCTGTGAGAGGCCTGGTGGTTGCCTGAAGAAGGACTGCTTGAGTCAGAGTGCCAGATGGGGCCCCAGAAGGGGATGAAAGGTGGAACGCACTAACTGCTGAGACAGGATCGAAGCCTCCTGGTTGGAGGAAGCGTAGAGGAGGCCGCACAGCTCCTTTCTATTCCAGACACCCTGAGCTCCATGCCACACCAAGATCCTCATGGGATGGGGGCTTCTCAGTGGTGCAGGGGTGATGACGTCGAGGGGTGTGTGCGCCTAGGAGGCCATGGGGGGGAATCCTGGGGGATCCCTTCTCGGCCAGAAGGCCAGGGACACGTTCTCAGACTGGTTGGTGAGTCTGAATACCCAGGCCGTGCTGGGTATCTTCCTACACCAGGTCTCAGGTGGAGGTTGAGTTTGAAGTTCTCATTCAAGTTGAACTTTGAATTCTGCTTCTGACCTTGGATAGCCAGACCACGAGCACTTCTTCACCTCAGCCTTTCCTCCGTACTGAGCCACAGAAACCATCCGCCACGGTCACCTAACTAGTGGCTCTCTTGTTTTGATCATGTAACTCTTCAAACATCAGCCGATTTCTTGCTGTCAGCCTCCACATGGATATTCTTGACCTTGGTTTCCAAGGTGCCTTTTCATCCGTCCACTTAGCTGTGCAGACCCTCTCATCTCCCCCAGCAGTGTCACCCTGCTCCCTGCCTTCCTGCCCACAGGAAGGCTCCCTGGTTCATCCCCAACCCTAAACCCGTGGAGCCTCTTCTGGAGTAAGTTCAGCTCAAGCCTTCACCTTCTCCGGGAAGACTGGCACGGCCCCTCCATTTGAGAGGACTTTTTCCCACATGAAATACACATTTAAAGAAAGTCAACTGGAACGGTTAGAAGGGACCGTACAGGCATAGGATTCAGTGGTTTTTAACTTACTTTTTTTCCCTTTGTAGTAGGAGAGCCCTTTCTTTAAATGAGGTCTTCTGTGGGAGACCAAATAGTAAAACAGAAAACACAGCTGTCCTCTAGTGTAAGGGAAGTGGGGGGCTGAGAGTCCTGCCCCTGAACTTCCCACCTTTATGTTTCCCCTCCTGCCCCTCGTGGCCCTCTGATTTAGTCCAGCTCCCAGGTGGAGGGGTGATGCCTCAGTGAGGGGGAGGCATGGGGTCCCCATTCCTCCCAGCCACCTCTGGGGTACTTCCTAGTCTGTCAGCATTCCCCAACTCTTCATTGAGATGCTCAGACAGGTTTCAGGGAAGGGTCTGCAGCCAGATGCTTGTGAGAAATGCAGGGGTAAGCGGTTTCCTTACCATAGGGCTTCTTGAGATTTCAGCGCATCGGGTTGCATTGCAGATCTGAGAATTGGGGAAGGGGAGGGTAGTGGAGGTGTGGCTAGACAGTACACAATACAGTGATTCTCAAACTTGTTTGACTACAGGACCTTACCTGGTTGAGGAATCCTAAAATGGTTTCAGAAATACTAAAAGTGGCGGGGGGGGCACTTAGTAGCTCAGTTGGTTAGGCATCCGACTCTTGATTTTGGCTCAGATCATGATCTCAGGGTCATGAGTTTGAGCCCCGAGTTGGGCTCCATGCTGGGCATGGAGCCTGCTTAAGATTCTCTCTCCCTCTTCCTCTGTTCCTCCTCCCACTCTAAAGAAAGAACGAAAGAAATGCTGCAGGTGGGAAGTGACTGCATTGTGAGTTGGTGATCGATTCCCAACCCCTCCCCAGGACAACTGTGGATCCAGTTGTCAGTCGAGGGGACAAGTCCCTTTCCCCGGACTATGGCATAGCCTCTCTATCTCTCACAGCTGTCTGTTCTTCATGAAGCGTCTGGTTGGGTGTCCGGCACATGGCTCCCATAAAGCCCTTGCCCAGCCGTATCATTAGATACTTGCTGTCTTTTTCAGTGATCACCCAAAGCCTTCTAAAGTGTGATACAATTTACCTGACCCTCACTAGGGAACTTTTGGGATCGTTTCCACTTTTCTTGTACTGTAAACAGCACTGTGATGAACATCCTCGTGGCTAAAGGATTGTGCCCATCGATGGGATGGCATTCGTAGATGTGAAACGGTCGGGTCACGTGGTATCCACAGCACACTGTATAAACACGAGTGTTTCCGCACCACACTGCTTCACAGGCTTCTGAGTCTCACTTGCCCGCGCAGTTCCCGGCAAAGGTGCCGGCAAAAGTTCCTGGCATCGGAAGATGCCAGCCGCACTGGAAGCCTTGACCTTGGTAACCAGCACCTGGGAAGTCCACGCATGGCCTTGTGTTGTGGGCTGCACTGCCCTCTCCAGCCAGTTTGGCCCTGGAGGGCTGGAATCTGGCCCCTCATTCGATCTCCTCTCCCCCTGCCTGCTGAAGGCTCTAGTGGTCGGGACTTCATACATATTAATTGATTTAGATTTAGATGTTTTTCCCCATGTAAGAGCTTGGTAGCGGAGACCCATTTATCTGAATGCTTTTTATGT